CTCTCTCTCTGTCTCTCTCTCTCCCTCTCCCTCTATCTCTCTCTCTTTCTCTCTCCCTCTCTCGCTATCTCTCTCTTTTCTCTCTCTTTTCTCTATCTCTCTCTTTTTCTCTCTCTCATTCTCACTCGCTATTTCTTCAGTCTCACAGTCTGGCATACACATGCATATATATCACAGTACATCATTATGACAGGTATGCTTTTGTGAATAAAAAATGCTTCAGCTGATTTTTGAAAATGGAAATTGTTGGGGCAGATCTTATTTTATATGGGGTTTCATTCCATCCGTATGTTTTGTAGTTTTGTTTTGGAGTTTTAAGAATTAGATTGTCAGAGGCTGATCTAAGGGCTCTAGGTGGATTATATAATTCCAGGAATGTTTTAAGATAAAAAGGTGCACTATCATGGTATGGTTATTAATATCAATTTGTAGATCTGGGAGATTTTTAATGGCTTTTGTATTTCCACTCAACATTATTTCGGTCTTGTCATCATTTAGTTTCAATTTATTGCTGGTCATCCATATTTTTATATCTCTAGTACATTGTTCAGTAGAGTCGACTAAAAGTGGTATTTGATCGAAATCAATAGACTTATAAATTTGAGTGTCATCAGCATAAAGATGGTAATTCATGCCATATTGTCTTAAAATATCAGCAATAGGTTGTGTATACATTGTAAACAAGACAGGTCCAAGAACAGACCCCTGAGGAACACCACATCTAAGCAAAACATTATAAGAACACGTTTTGATAGGAAAGAAGGAGGGGAGATCAGGACAATAGATGTTTGATAGGACAGAAGGAGGAGAGATCAGGACGATAGATGTTTGATAGGAAAAAAAGGAGCAAACCACACCAGAGCACCCGCCAACCACCCGCATCATGCAAGATTCGCATTCGATCATGATTGTTCCGTCGTCTGTTCCTCGACACTTGCAGTGGATGTTAACTTCGTACTAATTGTGAACTTTGAGTTTGACACCTGGCATTGTGTCCTACTTGTGAGCTCTCCAGTTCCATATGTTAATTTTAATTGAAATATTTTTACACTTTTGAAAATATTTGTGGATGCTCCTTGATGTGAGTAAAAGAATAAAATATACTAAATTATTTCAAAAATGTAAAATATTAACGCTATCTTGAGATTGCCGCGCAAGTATACGATCGTTACAACGCGCAGTACAATCTATGCGCCGATGGGGAAAGAGTGCGGATTATGTGTACTTATTTATAATAATGTATTTTTATATATATTTGTTTGCCATTGTAACCCGCATTTCCCCCCACATTACCGGTTTTGGTGTTATTGTTTTCTACGGCCAACAATCAGACCATTGAGACAATAAGCAAGCTGGCTCACCCTAGACCTATTTTACTGCTCAACTTCAACTTCTACTTCAATTCAGTATTCAAATGTAATGTACCTATATACCTTCTCCTTGCTAGGTCATCAAGACCCTCTTCCATTGGTTGGGTTGTCTTGTATTTGTTACAGTAAAGGTTGTCCACGTTCCTTTCCTTGGTTGTTTCTTTTAGAAACAACTCCTGGTTCGCACGTGTTGCCATTCATAAACCATTCAAGAGAGATGTATTTACCCCCCCCCCTCTCAA